ACTCTTTCTTGCCTTTGGATAAACTTAATGGTTTGAGAGGACAATTTCCACAGTAACATGACTCTTATGACCCCTAATATACATAGAAAAAGTTTGAGCTGAATTCATTAGATGTCAATTTACTGAGCATATGATACACAGGTTACTTTTTACTGAAAGAAATTTCTGAGGTTTACAACAAAGCAGGGAGAACGACGTAGTTCACATAAATGCATCAATATCATCTTCTACGTCAGTCACTACCAGTTATATTATCATCCGTTCAGAAAGTTCCAAATCATTAATTGTGAAACTGATGGTATAATTCGAAATGATTAGTTTCAGCATAACAAAGCCAAACTTTACGTTTCTTGCAGTAAGTACTAGTTTTTCTTCGACAGCTAGAAAATTGACATCGTTTACTTTTGAAATTTCGTCTTGTGCCATTTAAATCTTTCCAACCAGGGAAATGTCCGATTTGATCATATCTTGAAATATCAGTCGTAGCAAATGATTGTAACCGGATGTCGATAAGGGATATAACCAATTCTTGAGCTAAACTCAACTTGAAATTCAAAAGATCAATTTCAGAAGACGTTATTTGTCTGTAAATGAGCCACGAGTTGATGATAGAAGAATCCAAGAAACTGTAAAAGAATTTTCGATACCACTTGTTTCCTTTCAGTTGAATTCGATATAAACTCATGAGCATATCAAATGAGTCAACACCACCCATGCATTGATTGTATCCATTTGTTGAATATGGTCGTGATATTGTTATATGAGTGTTACTTTTTCGATCGAACCTTTTAGGTTCACCGACAGGTGTCGGACCAAAACAGTTTGAGAGTATGTAAACTGCTTTAGTGTCAAACGATTTTGTAACTACTATATGACCATTATCAGTAGTCAGAGAATCGAATGAACCTCTCCCTTCTTGCTTCATCTGTTTATCAGATTTTAATAATGAGGAATTTAAACGATTTAATCTCATTGTGGATACAACATGATATTGTTTAGTATTTAGAAATTTAATTAACCCAATAGTTGCAAAATAATTATCGTAAGCGATAAATGAGTTTGGAGGTAAATTTTGCGTGAGTCGAATCACAACATTATCAGCTGATCCAATATTCGAATCAATAACTATCAATTGATTGTCACCTTCGATTTCGAACTGATACAAATAGCTTGACTTTCCCGCACGTGCATACATTTTGTAACCCCATATATGAGGTTTCGAGGAATTATACCTTTTCAAACTGCTAAATCCTTTGTGGGGAATGATTTGTTCATCGACACTACAGATTTCTTCTGGTATTGCTGCTGACTGAAACTTTCTGTTAAAGTGGTTTAT